AAATGGCTACAAAATCAGTCAAAGAGAGTACTCATAAATTGCACCCACCTCAGCAGGGTGCCACAGGGCTCAGTCCTGGGCCAGTGCTCTTCAACATCTTTATTAATGATAAGGAAGTCCAGGGAATGATAATTAAATTTGCAGATGACACAAAACTTGGAGGAATAGCTAACACCCTGGAAGACAAAAAGAAGATCCAGGATGACCTAGACAAGCTAGAACACTGGGCAGAGAGCTACAGAATGGAATTCAACAGGAAAACATGTCACGTTCTCCAGCTAGGAGAAAAAACCCAAATGCATCATTATAAGAGGGGGAAATACTTGGCTCAACAGTACTGAAAAAAAGAGCTTGGAGTTGTTGTAGACAACAAGCTAAATATGAGCCAGCAATGTGATGCAGCTGCAAAAAAGGCAAATGCTATTTTGGGTTGCATAAATAGAAGCATTACTTCCAGAATGAGAGAGGTACTAGTTCCCTTTATTCTGCACTAGTCAGACCTCACCTGAAATATTGTGTTCTGTTCTGGGCATCTCAGTTTAAGAAAGATGTAGAATAACTAAAAAGGGTTCAGAGGAGGGCAACAAAGATGATCCAGGGTCAGGAAACTAAGCCCAATTATGAGAGGCTGAGAGAGCTGGGCATGCCCAGATTCGAGAAGAGAAGACTATGAGGGGTTATAATAGCACTCTACAAGAACCTCAGAGGCTGTCACAAAGAGGAAGGAAAAGACTTCTTCTCACTCATCCCCTAGTTTAGGAAATGGAACAATGAACTTAAACTGCAGAGTGACTTATAAGAGTTTCTCTCATCTTGATGAATATACAAATGCTCTTGCTCCATTTCTATCCCAATACTGTTCAATAACAAATTGATTTTTACTATGACTGTCCATACATACAATTCTGTCCATTTAGTTTTCTCTCAGTTTTTCTCATTTGTTTTGTTTCTGGTCATAAGTTTGCTTTGTCCCATTTCCATACCAGCTTTTTATAAGAGCACTTGCAAAATCTGCACAAATATTCATATACATTTTCATGCACAGTATACACATTTTAACATGCAGTTTTGCTTAGTAGATTTTATCTTAATTTTTTTGTAAGATTCCTTTTTTTCCACAAAAATATGCATTTTATGTCTCCTTTTTCCATATGCCCTTTTGTACATGCTTTTTGTATTATAAGACTGAGAAGTGTGAATATTTAAGAATAACTATGTTTCTGTGTGACTGCTGGTATAGGAAGTCCAGGCCAGCTCACATTAAAAGGCAAACTGGGCAAATTTCCCCAACATGCCAAATTAAGAACAATACTGATCTCACCTAGGTATGTGAGAATTTCAAAAAATCCCATGTTAGCCATCTCAGTTCTAGGATTTCTGCTTCTACCGATGAAGTTTTACATCTTCAAAAGGTTATCAGTCTCTTTCTCACATGGTGTCTATGTAGATTAGAAGCTGAGTTCGCTATCTATAAGAAATAATTATTTATTGACTGTGGAGTAAATGCTAGTGAACTGAAAGCCCTGAAACCTATACAGATATCGTTAAAGATTTTTAATCTGGCACTACTGAATCTGCCAATACCGATAATGATAATGATAGCAAGCAAAGGCAAGGCAAAATGACATGAGGTCTACTAATCTGATTCTCAAGACATAAATTGGTGCAAACCTTGTTGGAAAAAATTATCTGAATTTCCCATTGGACAGTATCAGCACAGCATACTGACCACAATGGCTCTCGTTAAGCATCCATAATGAATCCTTTTTATATGAACACTACATTCTGAACATAAATTATAAACTGTCTTAACTTAGGATGTGCCTCCCAGTTCCTTCATCCTTATTTATTCTATAACACAGAAATGGTCAACTATAAAATTGCCTTTCATGTGAATGAATTATGCCATCCAATGAGTTACCTAATAGGTAGTTACAGCTCAGGCTCTTAAAAAATCTTAACATATTCTTTCCCCCATGCAGTTAACATGTGATCCTAAGTATGGTTTACCCTGAAGTAAATCACAAAAATGGGACCTCCCTTCTAGAAAGGGTAGCTGAAGTTGCAGTATGTGTCTCATTTAAGTTTTGTCCAGAGTAATTTCTGTGTCAATTTACTCTTGGTGATGGCTAGTACTAAACTAAATTATTCTTCCAACAAATTTTACACAGCTCCTTCTAGAGTTCTTTTTTCTTTCTTTTACAGCTCTGTTTTCAATCTTGGCTTATCGCTATCATATTTCATGCCCTGTGCTTCTGGGGGGAAAATTCAATATTGAAGAACAAAGTAATCCTGGGCTTTCCTTCATTTCTGTCCTTTATATCCTAGGGCTGTCCCAACTCAATGACCCAGTTTCGATTGTGTTGCATTTGGCTCTTGCTGTCTGCTACCAGCCTGTCTAATCCTTTTTGTGCCTTCTTATCACTCATTCTTGTAATTTGCTTTCCCCCCTTTAATTTTGTCCTTTCTGCCTTCTCAGGCTACTGGTGTGTATTTCTTCTTCTCTAAGAGGCTTGATGCTTCCCTTCCTGCTCTTTCATTCAGGTTGTTGGTCAGAAACACAAAGACATGGCCAGGGGTTACCATCACATCTTGACAGTTAGCATTGCATTTTTCTCATCAGTAAGAAAGAATGCAACATTTTCCAATAAAAGGCTATGCCCCTTGAAGATTGCCATTATTGATAAGGGAGAATAGAAAATGAACTGCTAAATTGGTCATACTGAATGAAGCACTATCTTCTAAAACTTTCTCCCATAATGCTAATCTCACTTTCCCTTCATAATGCTAATCTCCTGACTTAAACTGACTTCAATCTCGTAACAGCTGTGTGGAACAAAATAAATACATTCCCCAAGGGGAAAGGAACCACCAACAACATTATCTGTTTAAGATAGTACAGGAGGTGCAGAACTGGAAAGCATTGTTGGCATCCTTGCATGAAATATAATGTTAGAAATATAACATTATCAGGACATGAAAATGGCTATAGCATGAAAGACTGATAGAGCCTAGCCATGCTAATTGCATACATCCAGATTTTTTAAATTATGTAAATACTTTTTGAGAAAACAGGGAGTCTAAATGTAAGCTAGTTTTACCTGATTTTGCAAATTCACCTGAGCAATATTTACAAGGAAGAAATCTGCTTCATGGATTTAATGAATGCTTATTCTGAAGGCTGAATTTTTCAGTGATACTAGAAATGGACAGAACATCAGATCACATCACTGCTATTGGGAAACTCTGTCTCTAGGACTACTTGCATCACTTGGTAAACAAGCAGCGAAAAAAGAGTGGCACTGAGCTTCCATTTTCCATTAGAGAGCTTACCAGTAATGGATTTCTAGGCAAGTATATGAAAGTCCTGTTACCAGAGCTGGGCAGGCCCAGCACATAAAAATGTAAGAGCTGTGCTAGATCCAATCAAAGACCGATCTAGACCAGCATTCTCGTGACAAAGCAGCCTAACAGAAACCTATCAAAGCCCACTGGAAATGAATGCGTGCAACAGCACTCTCTCACTGGAACTGACAACTTGAATGCAAATCATACTGCTTGCATAAATGTATGTATGAACCTCTTAGCAATTTTAATTACTACATGAATGAAATGTTTCTCATCTTTTTACCTGCTTGTGCCCATTACTACATCTTGAGATAGGAAATGCCACAGATTAACTATGTGCAGTGTGAAGCCTTTTGTTGCCCTGATTTTTCCAGCTTTATCGGATGACCCTGGGATGACCCTGTGTTCTAGTATTGTGGGATTTCTCAATTCTCTTTGTCCATAATATGAATCACTATGAATCACACACCTCTAGCTTGTTCCCTTCATTTATTTAAATTAACAGACTCCAATCACTGCAATCTTCTCTCAAAGAGGAATTGCTCCAGCCCCTCAATCATTTTGGTTGTCCTTTCTGCACCCAATGGAATAATCCAAAGCAATGTGATGATATCCAAGATGTACCTTTAGTATAATCAGTATTTGATACAGGAGAATGAGCACATTTGTATACTCTATGATAAAATCACATGCTGGTTAATTTTCAGATAACACTTTAAGATGGATTTCTAGTTGCCATAAATATACACTAAGTCCCATCCAAGTTACAGCTCAGAAAAAACTTGTGTCCCCCCCCCCCCCAAAGAGAGCATATGAAAAAGGCTTGGAACAATGTTCTTTACACAGAGTTATACTGCTGGTTCACTATCCTGGTTTGCACCTTTGTCATGGTCAACCAATTTTCCAAATTGTAGAGGAATCAGAAAATTTTCAAGTGATCTTCTATGAATTAAAATACACACTCAGCTACTTTTCTCCAACTGTCCTCAAATAGGTCTGAAATGTGTTCTGAATTTATACTCAGCTTTGAGAAGCATTGCAAAGTTCAGGGTGTGTGGCAGGGGAATCAATGCTACTGTGTAGTACTTAGGCTTTGTTTCAAAAATAAATTAGTACAGGAGCTTCAGCTATGGGGCAGCAGAGAATCAAACAAACGGCAATGTGCCTTTCAGGAAATGGCACAACTTCAGCATAAGAGTATATATTGTATCTGCATGTCTTACACTGATTTTGTTTTATGCAATTATAAACTCTTTCGCAGAGAATCCTACCAAGCCAATTCTGTTTTACAGTAAAAGGACAGGTAAGCAATATGTGGCCATCCCAAAGTTTTGGTCTACAGCTTCCATCGCTGGCTTTGTTGGCTACTGCTGAAGGGAGCTGTGGGCCGAAATATCTGGAAGACCACAGAATGCCCACCACTGCCAAAGAGAGATGGTGTAGATCCGTCTCCAAAGCTTCCCCTGTTATAGAGAAGCAGTGTGCAGTGGGATTGATCTGGCTGTCGTTTGTAATATGCAAGTCAACAGGAAATGCTAATTTGTTAAGCCCAGTTAACAGGATAAAACAAGTATATTTAAAAACTGTTTATTTAAAAACATTCTTTTGGAATCGTTCTTAAATTAAAAAAATTAAAAATATGACTCTCACTCTCACACACAAATAAGCAGTTTTAATTCCCAATCCTGTTCCAGGCATTCATGGTTATTGAGTGCTGATACAAGTATAATACATTTCCTCCACTGAAGAATACCCATGAAGAAACACATTTAAAAGACAACAGCTGAAGGCAACATCCATACAGATTAGGTAAGGCATAAGCAACAGTGGGCAGAAAATTAATCTTCTCATCATGAATCATGCTTGCAAAATACAAGCATGTTTTACATGCTAATGTCATATTCTTTCATAGGTTAACATTTTTCACCACATCACAATCAGCCAGCGGGTGAATATACTGTCAGAAGCACTAATCTCACAAGTTCCCTGTCAAAAATGGCTCTTTGTAATCTGTTAACAAGGCAAATTCCTTACTCGAATTCTCATGAATTATTAAGCAACATGAACAAAGGCGCATCAGCGGGCAAGGATTCCAAAGACCATCACGCTCTTGTTGCAGAACCCCAGCCACCACTCGCTGAACAAACTTCTTCCACAGGTGGTTCCACAAACCATGAAGCTTCCACCTTCCTTTTCTTCCTGGCTAGGTTATCAGAAGGAAGTTTATCATCTAACCGGTCAAACTCATGAAGGCGGAAGCGAGTTGCCAGTTGGTTCACCATTCTTTTAAGAGCAAGGAATGCAGTAATTACTTGAAAGACAAGGAAGACTACAAAAATGATATTCACTGCTCGCTCCAGCGGCTGAATCTCCAAACCTTCATTTAAAAGCACAAAGAGAATTAAGGGAAGTTGCAAAAGGAGACTCAGGAGCCAAAAGCCAGCTAGTTCAGGAACCTACAAAGAGGAGAAAAATGTATCAATGGACCATCAGCTTGACAGAATATCAACCCAAACACAGGAGACAGTGGTGTAGAAAATCTGTTGGTCAGACTTTGACACCAGTTCCTAAAGTGCTGATATTGAAAAATTGTAATTCAGATCCTAAGGACTCTGTAGTTTTTCAGGGCCAAATTACAGGAATTTGACCAGTATCTCTTTTCCTTGCAGAAAAAGAAACCTCTTGATCTGTTGTTGCTGTTGCAACTTGAAAGACGATCCAGTCGACAAAGTGAAGCATCATTACTAAACTTTTCAGCCAGACATCTTAGCCAGATGTCATTCTCCATGTAGCTCCAATGACAGGGGAAAAAGAATATAAATAGGACTCCGGGGCAGTAGGGGAAAGAAAGGAATAGTTACAAATTGCCACTTGTCTCTTTTCAACAGGAGGAACAGCATCACAGCTGCTCTGTACAGCAGCCCAGAGAAAATAGTATTGATCATGTTTTCATTCAGCCACATTCCATATCAACAGAGGATGGGGTCTCAGTTGCAATTGCTAGTTCTGACTGTGTAGAATCTTTTTACACAGTAAAAGCTAGGACAAAGAGTCCATAATTAAGAATGAGAAGACAGCCCCCCACCCCATTTACATCTTAATTCTAAATATGTAGGCCACTTAAGCACATGTAAGCCCTTGAAATCAACATACTTAAGCACATTATAATCTAATCTCTCACTGTTTTTTCATTAACTAGAAATTATACTCTGCACATATGCCCAGGCATTTATTTTCTTAATATGCATATGTGTAGAGTATTTTCTAGTTAATGAAAAACAGTGACAGATGTTGAATGCTTGTTCACTTTAAAGTTAAATATAGTGCTATATAAGTCTTAAAGTCATGCTGAAACTGTAGATAGCATGTCAGAGCTATAAAAGACCAAAGGTGCAATTCTATGCATGTTCACATAAAAGTAAGTTCCACTGTGTTCAGTGGAGCCTGTTCCAGATTACAGTCCCAAAGTCTTAATCATTTTCTTATTAGAGATATACTTCAGGCTTTTTTCCTTCCAGATCTACAATGTATGTCTGTAATTTACTTTTAAAATCATTTCAAATGGCATTTACAAATGCTAGCACTGTATTTCATAAATTCTTAGCATTTACACTGTGTACATCAAATATTTAAAGTGCTTCACTTACATTGTTTTAATAAATATCACAGCAGCCCAGCAAGTATTGCCAATAATATTGCCCTTATACTGAAGGAGACAGTGGGACTGAGTTTCAGAGAGCAGTGGTCAACTTCTGAATTTGTCAGAAAGAAGAAACACAAATCAAACTTTGTAGCTCTTATGCTCTTGGCCACTAAGCTACATCAGATTTTGCATACAAGAAGAACATGCAAAAGAGCACCCGTTGGCAGAAATCTTTATTAGTTTAACCAGCATGGTGGTCTGCAGGCTTATCTCTAGTATTAAGGCCTATCTCTAGTATTAAGGCCAGTTACTGAACCCCCAACATTGCAACTCATGAAAGATTTTGGTATTAAGAATCAATTCATTTGAGAGTCTGGTACTAAATACAAAACTTCAGTTCAGACCAGTTTAACTGCTTTTTAAAAACTTAATCCTAAAGAGGTACAAAAGAAACTTACCTTTTCCTGCAAATTTCCCATGTATCCCAGGTACAGGCGGATAATCTCAATCAGAGATGTTAATACAATGATTGTGACAAGGATGAACTTGTAATAGTCTGGTAAGACTGGATACTAAAATTGGCAAGGAAAGAAAACAAAAAAGTAATCTTGCTTATGGATTCCAAGAGGGCAATTATATAACACACTGAATATCACATTATGTTTTTCCAAAACTTACCTATTTCTAAACCTACTACATCAGGAACAAATACTACCTGTCAAAACATTCTCAGAGGAAATCTTGTTGTGTAAGTACTAGTATTACTGGTGGGTATGTTAATGGGAAATAACCAGCCTCTTTCCAAGAATAAGAAAACAAGGATGGCAATGTGAGGTTAACACTGGTCTTCAAGACTCACCTTCAGTTGCAGCATGACTACACTGCTCAGCCACCAACATGGGAAAAAGCAAAGGTTGAAATAGAGAGACATCTGCAAGGGCAAACTCGAGACAATTTCATTATCTAGAGCCACAAAGAGAAGAAAGCTCCTATTAGCCACTTGTCTATAAACTGAATGCTGCAACCCTGTGCAGAGTTACACTAGATTAAGCTTCAATAAACTCCAAAATATGGTTAGGTTTGGGCTGAGACATGCTTCCGTAGAACCAGTTTCACATGCTATACTAGCATAATCTGTAGTCCTGGGGGGGGGGGGGGTAGGACGGTATGCGCATGTTCACATCAGCATTCCCAGTGTGTTGTGTGCTTCTTTAAAGAAGTAGGGACTGCTGGAATTAAGTATCATTCTTATCCACCTCTTCTTGAGAATATGTGAAGAGGTGCCTTTTGCTGCCTATTATCAGAAGCAGTTACACTCAACGCTGTTATGAGTACAGCAATGTTAACTTGTTCCTTTGGGTAAGGACAGACAGCTGCATCCGAGGAGGAGAAACAAAGAGTGAAACTCGTGTGTGCAGGCTGCTGGAATGACATTGGACAGAAACAAACAAAAAGACTTTAAAAAGAAAGTCAAACGGCAGTCTTTCTCCAGACCGTAACAACAAAACGACCCCATAATGGCCATAATTACTGAGCCAATTAACTTCCAGACCATCCATGTAATGGCTAATCTAATCTGGAAAAAAATCGCGTGACAATTTTCTCTTAAGCCTGTTTAACTGGGCTAGATATTTCGTAAGTGGGACAGTCTGAAATCAGGGCTCTCCTTTGATCTGAAGGGTTCGTGCCCCTCTAGCTCGCTGCGAGCTAAATGCCCCTGGCAACATAACTGCGGGCCACGTTGACGCGGAGACACCGGAAGGCTGCGCAGAAGCCCGGCCAGCCTCGCGGGATCGCGCCTCCTGCTCCGTTCCCGCGCGACGATGCCGCCGCCATCTTTGTAGCTGGCACAGCGCTTGCCCCCTCACCCGCAATGTTGCCGCCCTGCTCGGGCCCGGTGCGGTTGCTGTCGGTGAAGACAGTTCGGCTGAAGGAGTTCAGCCGCCTCCTCACCGGCTCCGGTAGCGACATGGAGCGAAGCGGGCGGTAGCGCTCGTTCCTTTAGCAACGAGGCGCGGCTCAGACGCTTTGCGCAGCTGCACTGCGGTCAGAGAGAGGCATTGCACCCGCCACTTCCGGAACCGATTGGAGACGCTCTGTGGACAGCAAGAGTTCTTGCAAGTCGACGGGCGCCGTTACTTTGCCACGATTTCCGAAGGGTAGCGGTGTTCGTCTGTTGCAGCAAAAGCAAAGGAGAGCCTGGCGGCATGTGCAAGACGTTTAACGCGTGCTTTACACCACAATAGAGGCGCTTTTCTTTAAGGTGCCACACGGCTCTTGACTTTGAAATGAAGATGCTCGCTGTTTTGTTCACAGGATGAGCTTACTTCCTTGTTTTTAAGGGGAAAAAATGTGCGAAGGGAAGGAAGATAAAAGCGGGCTGGTCCAGTATATATAAACTTAAATCTGCAGTGTTTATAAATGAAGTTAATAAGCGTTTTGGAAACTCAGTTGCTTCTCCGTTTTTTACATTCCAAGCCATGTTATTCCGCCATCAGAATGTAAAGCAGGATTTGCCCAGAAACTAAAATGTGAAGTCGTAACTGGGTAGTTAGAACATCCAATACACACACACACACACGCACGCACGCACGCACGCACGCGGCGGGAACGTAGAAAGGGGAGTGTTTATAAAGGGCCAGACCTGTGCATCTTTAAAGAGGAAAAAAAGTCTTACAACTTCCACAATTCTTCAACCAGCATGCATGCCTTATATACTTATTCGTGGATGTCCACTTCAAAGCAAGCCCTGTTGAATTCAATGAGGCATACTTTTAGGTAGTGGCAAACAGTATTCCTGCTTTGAGTCTGTTGCAGCAGAAATGGTGATGGCAAAAGCAAGCAATTTATTATGGAAGTAAAGCATGCATTTAATTCCTCAGAACTAAAGGAGAAACTGCAATGGCTCAGCTAAAATTTGAAGAAATACATAGTTCAGACACTGCAGAAATACAGTAGTTGAGTTTCAACTGAGGAAGCCTGCTTCTTTAACATCTAAACTATTTGTATTGATTCTTACCAGCATCACAGGGTCACCAGTTCAGCAGCAATTTAACACCAAATGACTAGTGTGAATTTAACAGATAGGAAGAACACAAGCACCTGTGATTCCTGCAGGAAGCTAGCAATCAACTGCTACAAGAGGACATGCAAGAAAGGCTGCTTCCAGACAAGGCTTTTAGCAGATCATCATCCTGCCTTGTTCTCAGAAGTTTATGAAGAGTCTAGATTTTAAAGGCAGATGGTCTTGGCCCATTTTTCACAGTGTCTATGGAATTGGAGCCAGATTTCTATCTCATACTTATGCATTGATGAGATAGAATGCTTATTTCTTAAAGCTTATGTATATGAATTATACTCCAGTCTTGCATGAAAATCTGATAAGAGGTCTAGTTAACTATGATGCATTCCCCAATTTCATATTTTGTAAGAAATGAAAGTCTTCAACTGTAAAAGAGATAAATGGATGTGCTAGCCAAAATATGCTATTATGAGGCTGTCAATATCATGATCATTGGGTTAAAATGTAAAGAAAATAAGTGCATAATAAATTTATTCTATTTATTACACAAGTATAAAATTCATTAGCCCAAACTCAGATTTCTCCTCACACATAGGAAAAACATTGCCTCACATTCAGCTTTCACTGGTTCTCTGTACTGGATGAAAATCCCTCTTCCACACAAATAATAAAGGGAAGAGAACTTGCACTGTGCCAGGCTGTGATCATACTGCCCTGTATTACTTAAGTCCGACAGGCATAGCAAACTACAATTATCATGGTTGTTCTAATCTTTGCATGCTGGTTTTTTAAAAAGTGTAATTAGTGTTATGTCCTACGGTCAGAATAATGTTAAAGTAGCTTTCTTGGATCACAGGATGTCTTGAAAGCATAATCCTCAAAGCACTCCACCGGTGTTAAGAACTTGTAAAGAGAATGGGCTTAATGCCAGCAAAGTGTCTTGAAGATCAGTTCGTTAGACAATCTTCTGTTTATGTCACTAGCACTTTAGCACCTACTGAATGTTTTGTCTGGCTCAGAAAAATTAGCCCTACTGATTAGGCCCATTTGGAACCCATGCCTGAACTCTGATTTGTTGTGTGTAATATCTAATTTGCAGAAGAGCACCTGCTACGTATCATGGTGTTGGCAAGCACAAGTTCCCATCCTGAACACAATACTATTGACTGGTGAAGCTAGTGTAAAAGTGTACCTGTTTCCATGTCGCTGCCTAGTTAACCCCACCTTTAAGGGTTCCTCCAATTTAACCACCTATATTGGAACTTTTAAAGCAGCCAGTTTTGTACTTGCAGAATTTTTGCTTTACTGTGATTTTAAAAGGGTGCGAGGGGAGCCCTTTAAGAACAGAATACTGGAAATCTTCATAAGGCTTGGAAAGACTTAGCAATTTACAACACCTGGCAAATGCTGAACGTATTCAAAATAAAGAGCCGTACCAATGTGAAGTATTATAATTCTAGTACCTTCCTACATCTGTACAAATCAAAGATGCATAAGCTGTTTGGTCTGGAATTCAGAAGTAGATCTCCTAGTGTTCCAGCTTTTCCTGTGTTATGAATTATGTAGATTACATCCTGGAAGCTAAGTACTGAAGGAGTGTGTATAAGTGGCATTGTTTTGAGATTTGCTAATTAGATACATGGCCTTTAAAAACTTTCATCCAAAAAGACAGATTCATATATAATTACTGTAAAATAATGAAGCTGCTGGATGGAGCAGTATTAACTGCCTAACTCTCCGAGTCAAATAATTTGTGATATTGAGTGCATCCTTAGAATAGATGTCAAGTCTTTTAAAATTTAGCAACAGGTGCAGCAATAGAGGCATTGAGGCTTAATCCTTCCCTCCCCAGTTGCAGTTCCAATGAGCACTCCGTACCCCCACCCCCCCAGTTTCTGATGTGTTTATTTGTTAGCCAGTAGTGCAAAGGGGGTGTTATCAGAATTGCAGCTATGTTATAATCTTTCCTTTCCATCGGAAGAGAAAAATATTCCAGGCTTGCAGAGAGTTCTTTTTAAAACTTTATTGCAATGAAGAGAACAGAAAGGAATGATTTCCTTTCCATTTTTCTGGTCACCTGAGCACATGTTCACACATCCCTTTTGAACCCTGCTCCAGCCACTTGTTCCTCCTCCTCTCCCCTGATTGGCTAATTGGGTACTGAGAGTTAACACTCTTTCCGCCCACCTACTCCGCGCTGCCCCAACACCGGCCCTTCTTCCCAATCCAGCCCTGCCCCTGGTGGGCTACAATAGGCTCATTTTGTTCTGCCCAGCTTTTCAATAAACAATCAGGAAGAATTTGGCCCTCCTGCCTGTTTCCCCATACCTTGTGCTATCTGATTTTGGCCCCTCCTTTGGGCAAAGTAATTTTCTTTGTTACCTTTTTAAATCTCTCTACTCCCTTGTTTCAAATCATCCTTTCACACCTATCAGCTACAAAGGGGAGAGTTAAAACCCATACCCCAGTGATAGTCCTGATGAAAATTGCATACCCTTGGCATTTGTTACTAACTTGAGGAAAAAAAGCTGGCATACTTTTTAATGTATTTAACACCTCATTAAATAGCTCTTAGTTTTCCAGGAACAATTGTAGGGGGTCAGGGCACATCTTTCACAAAGCTGCTGCTCCTGGTTCAGTGAAGTCTACTGCAAACTGAGAAAATATCTTTAATTTAAAGCCTTAATGTAAGGCACCATTTGTTATTTAACAAATAACAAACTCTAATCCTTTATTTGTCCCAGGCTTACAAGAGAGATACTTTGAGCTACTGTTAAACAAAGGAAGACTGAAACTGGCATGTCAGTGTTTTGAAACAGCCTAGCCAGTGCATCCCTGCGCTACAGCTCAATATTTAAATCTAGATCTTCAAGGCCCAAATCTAATGAAACATCTCTATTATACAATATTATTTCTCTGAGGTGAATACATTTCCTTCTAAACTTTCTGAGTTGTGCAAAAGCAACATGGTAACAAGCATGTTCCATCCAGGTCTTCTGAGATGGCTTCTGAATTGCTATAAGCTTAGTACATGGATATGTTAGCTAGGCCTCTGCTGTTCCCAAAAGCAGCCTGAGTCTTTCCTGTCTTAATAAGAGAATTGTAGGAACGTATCTCTTCCAAACTATGTTTGTGTCCAATAAACCAAGAGTACACAACCTTTTTCAGTCCTACCAATTTCATCTGGTATCAGGTACAACATTTGGGGGCCCTATATGTGCTTGCGCATGCACCCCCTACATGGTTTAAATTTCCTTTCCTGGCCCACTGAGATCACAGGGGTAGGGAACGACTTTTTCCTCTCCCAGCAGTCTCTTATTCAGACTGTCGCCTTCCATACCTTCAGAATGACCAGAGCTGGAGCATCCCTTCTCCTCCTGCATTTGCTCTATTCAGGTTCAGAATACATGAACAGAGCTACAGTTGTTCAGGTATTCATACATTTTAAATTTTCCACTCACCTTTTCATTTTATACAAATAAATACTCTGTAGGCATTAGGTGAATTCATACATTCAGCTTAAGTAACTATTAATAAAAAAGAGCATTACAGTAGTCCCCCGAAATTTGTGGGGGTTACATTCCTAAAGAATCTGTGAACTGTGAAAAACCACGAATTTGGTGCTTGCGATGGGTGCTGGCCGCCAAGGCGGTGTGGGCGGGAGGCGCAGGCCGGACCAGGCGTGCGCAGAGATTGTTTTCTCCGAGCGACTCCAAACTCGAAGGAAACGATCTCCTTGTGAGTAAGCCACCACATGGCGAGGACTCCGTCCCATGAAAGACTGAAGCCGTGAATGCTGAACCATGACTTCACGGGAGTATACTGTATCTTGGCTGTTGATAGAATAAGATACAGTTATCTGCAATGACATATGTATGATGAAATTGCCATACATTTAAGTTAGCCCTCCTTATGGAAGGGCTCACACACTCTCCAGCTACTGTTGAAATGAACAGTAACCATGTGTACCGACCCATTCATGTATAGCTTCTGCTTGCCGGCAGTACCGTCCAGATCATTGGTCACTAGAGTGCAGACATTACACACACCTGAAGTGACATTTATGGTAAGAACACATCAATGTGATTTAAAGGACACATGGATACAGGCACACAGCCTTTTAGGTTGATAAGGAGGCAATTGGTACAAGAAACAAATGTGTGCAATTTTAATTATTCCATAATGGAAACACAAAACAAAAATGACCATTCAATTTTTGGACATGCGGAACTGGAGGGAAATCTTTTACCTTTCTCCAAGTGCAAAGTAAGAAGCCGTGTAATCTGTAGTGCTGTATTTTCTGGGGTTTTTCTCCCTCCACTCGGCCTGTTGACAGACTACAGCGTTTCCAAAGAACTCTCTCTCTCCCACTCTTTGACCTTATTGTAGATCTGGGCTGCCTTCATGAACAATGGAATGCGCAGCCAGCTCCAGGACCTACTTATAACAGTTTGTTTGGCTCACAACCCTAACATGCCACTACAGGAATCTAATGAGAAACAGATACCCATTTTGGTGACAATGCAATCCATGCCAGAATAAAATGTTGTGAAAATGCTTCCTACCTGGCTTCCATATTGCAGATAATCTTTTTTTAAGACATCAAGGTATGTTTGTGTTGACAAATTCTGATCTCTTGTTCCTGATTCACCAGGACTTTTAATTGGCAGCTGAACCAGCAAGAGAAGACAAACTGAATAAAATAGAAAAAGCATGATATGTGTGCATTGTAAAGTAACTTCATTCATCTCTCAGACCCTCTACCCTAACTTACCAGTCAAGCACTCACCACTAGGAAAGTTTAATCAGCCCAAATTATCACAGATAGTGACTGTGCAGGAAATGGGGCTCTCAGAAATACTACCATATAACTTTCACCACTGAACTAAAACTGTTCTGTTATCTTAAAAGAAAATTGATTTCACTGTATTTAAAATTACTCAGGCCTGAATGTTTCAGGACCTTCCTAAAAGTTTGCAGTGATTGAGTCTGGCAGACCCCTGATGGTAGCTTATTGCAGAGGTATGTGGCCATTCTAGAAAAGGCCTTTCTTGTATATACATACACTTAACTGCACTCACAGGAAGAGAAGGGCCTTTCTTCTTGATTTTTAAGCATGGTCAGCCTTCAGAGGAAGTCAGTCCTTCAAGTAATTTGGTTCCAAATAGTTTAAGGTATTAATGGTCAAAAGAACACTTAAAATTGGGCTCTAAAATGTATTGGTAACCAACATAGCTGGCATATTATAGCCCCTATATGAACTGATCATCCTTTTTCTATCAACACTCAAGCAGCCAGATTTTGAAGATCCTGGCTGAACCTGTCTTCAAAAGCAACCTCATCTGCAGCACATTATAGTAGTCCAGTCTGAGTGTCACCAGTGTTTGAATAATCAAGGCAAGATCCATCTTTCCAGAGAGAGTGGCAGCTGGCATACCAGTATGAGCTGGTAAAACATGTGTGTGAAGGGAGAGATGACCATAGACTCTTTCTGGAAAGGCTGTCCAAATTGATATCAGATGCTCTGTGCTGCACTGGGTCC